CTAAAAGTACAAAAAATTAGCTGGGCATGGTGGCGCGTGCCTGTAATCCCAGCGACTCAGGAGGCTGGGGCAGGAGAATTGCCTGAACCCGGGAGGCGGATGTTGCGGTGAGCCGAGATTGCGCCATTGCACTCCAGCCTGGGTAACAAGAGCGAAACTCCATCTCAAAAAAGAAAAAAAAAGACACTAAGTGTGTGGATGAGGCAGATAATCTGCATTTCTTATTGTCTTCTCCTATTGTTCATTTTTTGTATACAAAAATATGTGAAGAAAAAAGTTGAAAATTAAACTATTTCATGTCTCCCAAGCAATTATCAACAATGCAAATAAAGCACAGGATAATGGAATTATAAATTCATCTAATTACTGGATAACTTGAATCTTAATTACCCACAGTATACCTCTGTACTTCCTTTCCCCTAATTATAAGAAATGAAGAGTACAACAAGCAGAAAACTGTAAGAACAGAAAAAAAGCATCTGTATATACATACTGGCAACAGTACCACCGAAGCACTTGGGGCAAGTTCCAAATCCAGTAACTTCTTTTTATAATCTTCTTTGGTAAATTCCCTCCTGGGAAACATGGTTGCTAACGAAAAATTACCGTAAGTGTTGCCAACAGTCTGTAACACAAGTTTTAAAAACTTATAAGGGTGCCTTTAAAATTAAGATATTACATTACTCAGATGAAACCAAAATGACTGTTTTAAAATTCCCTCAAGTTTAAAGTTCATTACATGTAAACTCAAAAAAAGGTATAAAATTGTGCTTCCAGCCCCTAAGCAGCTGAAAAGCTATCAAATCCAAATAGTTTTTAAGAGCTTTTACAACTCAAAGATGACCACTAAATAGTAAAATGTAGTTCATAAAACCACATAAATAAATTGAGTAAAAATGAACAATTGTGTATCTCCATGAAGCATGGTTGCAGTTCACCATTAGGTTTTCACTATCCTTTGGCAAACTTATGTTAATGTCTCATGAACACACATTTGGATTACAGGTACTCCCTATTAAGAATCTGGACTAGCCCGGTATTTCCCTCATATATACCTTCAAGAAGTGTAGCCTCACCCTTGTCTCAAGGCACATACGGTCCATAATCAACCTACATGATACACACAATCCCATATCCAGGAACCTATATTGGACAGCACCATAATCACCCTCATAATTTTAAGTCCTCCATATACAAAAATCACTTGTAAAATCTTAGACATCTGTGTATCTTTCCCTAGAGAAAACTAAATTGTTTCTTGTAATTTTTTTTAACCGTAGATCACACATACCCCTCAATGTTCTAAGGACATACAAAAATACAAAACTTGATAATTGTACTTAGATGGAGTTTTAATAGATGGTAGCAAAGATCTCTTTTTCCCATGTAGTCCCTTCTCCATTTACCTGTGACAAAAGCTGTGAAACTCAGGACAGACGACACACTATGGGAGGCTCCAAGACAAAAGAAGAATCAAACAGCCTATTTGGGACTGGTTCTACTATAAAACTTAGGGGGAAACAGTTTCTAAAATAAATTTTTATATGGTCCAGCCTAGCTGACCAGTACAACAGGGTGAACAGCTTTTAAGATGTCCTTCTCTTGAAACCTGTAAGTAAGAAGACTAAACGGGGAGAAAAGATCTGAACCCAACACCCAACTCCCTAATTGTAACCTTGAAGTTATACCTGTTAGAAAAATACTGATGCATATAATAAGCCTAGAACCCAATGACATCTGATGCTCAGAATCCATTTTGAATAAGGAATCAATCAGAAAATAAAAACTAATTGGAAACTACTCGTATCTTAAAACATATAATCCATTCAGATTTTGAAAAAGGCCACATTTTTGAAGTAAATTCCTGAAGAAGGTACTATTGTCAAATAAAGTCTACTGCCTCTTTTTGCTTAGCCAATAGGTAGATCGTAGGAAAGTGACCAGCCCGTAAGCAATCTGCAGGAAATGGAGAGAGGACTGAGAAAAACGACTTCCGTTTCAGGGGAGTGGAACAACTCCCTTACATTAGACCTTCGGGAAATCACTTGTTTGTCCCTCCTCTAATGAGTCTACTAATCAGTGAGAAAAGTTCCCAGTGGCTGGGCCAGGTGGCTCACAGCAGTAATCCCAACACATTGTGAGGCTGAGTGGGAGGACTGCTTGAGCCCAGCTATTCAAGACTAGCCTGGCTACATGGTGAAACCCTGTCTCTACAAAAAGTACAAAAATTAGCCATGTGTGGCAGTGCATGCCTATAAGTTCTAGCTACTTGGGAGGCTGGGGTGGGAGGGTTGCTTGAGCCCAGGAGGTCAAGGCTGCAGGGAGCTGTGATCACACCTCCGCACTCCAGCCTAGGCAACAGAGTGAGATCCTGTCTCAAAAAACTTTTAAAAAGTTCTCGGGGCCTATTATACAATATCAGCAAATTCCTACTTCTGCACACAAAGCACGTATGTTACTCCCATAGGCACTAACACACGACAAAATTTCTACAATATCTCAGGGGTGTCTTCCTCCTTTAGATGTCACAATTTACTCACATTCAACTAATGCTTTGAAATTTTCCCTTCCTACAATTTAGTAACCTATATATCTATTGTTACTACAACTCAAAACATAAATTTACCTGTGCAGCAAACTGCCTTGCCTCTTCGAGAGGAGCATCAGAAGGGAACTGATTTGTAAAGGAAGAACCATCAGGAAGACGGAATTGAATTCTTGCAACAGTGCTATGAAAAAAGAACATTAAAGTCACAATCTTCACCTCTACATATTCTCAAATAATATCATTAAAAGTTCGAGAAAACAGAAGTGGAAATGTGCAATGACAATAGTTATTTTTTGCCATATCAGATCTTTTTGTTTGTTAATAACTGCTTTACTGAGATTCACATCAAAAAATTAACCCTGTTAGGCTGGGCTCAGTGGCTCACGGCTATAATCCCAGCACTTTGGGAGGCCAAGGCAGGCAGACCACCTGAGGTTAGGAGTTCAAGACCAGCCTGGCCAACGTGGCAAAATCCCATCTCTACTAAAACATACAAAAATTGGCTGGGCATGGTGGTGTATGCCTGTAATCCCAGCTACTTGGGAAGCTGAGGCAGAGAACCTAGGAGGTGGAGGCTGCAGTGAGCCGAGATCATGCCACTGTACTCCAGCCTAGGCAACAGAACGAGACTCCATCTCAAACAAACAAAAATTCTTTTAAGGTGTACAATTCAGTGGTTTTCAAATATATTCAGAATTGTTGCAACCATCACCACTATCTAATTCCAGAACATTTCCATCAAGCCAAAAAGGAACGCCAACCCCATTAGCACCCACACTCCATCCTTCCCTCCTGCAGACCCTGGCAACCACTAACCTACTGTCTCTATGGATTTGTCTATTTTGGGCATTTCATATAATAGAATCATACAATATGTGACCTTTGTAACTTGCTTTTTTCATGGAAATTGTATTTTCAAGGTTCATCCAGTTGTTGCATATATCAGTTATTCCTATTGCTGAAAAATATTGTACGAGATACAGTTTACACATTCTTCAGTTGCTGGACATTTGGATTATTACCGCATTTTAGCTATTTGACTAATACTGCTGTAAGTATTCATGTACAGGTTTTTGTATGGACGTTTCCAATTCTCTTGGATATAAACTGCTGAATAACCTGCTGCTGTAGAACTGCTGGGTCCTATGATAATGCTATGTTTAACATTTTGTGTTACTGACAAACTGTTTTCCCAGGTGACTACATCATTTTACAGTCCCACCAGTAACAGAGAAAGCTTCCAAATTCTCTACATCCTCACAAACACTTACTACTTTCTCTTTACATTTAGGCATAATTAGTGGGTGTAAAATAGTATCTCACTGTGGTTTTGATTTTATTTCCCTAATGACTAATGATGTTGAACATCTTTTCATGTGTTTACTGGCCATTTGTATATCTTCTTTGGAGAAATGTCTTATTCAAATTATTTTCACATATTTGAACTGGGTGTCTTTTTATTATTGAGTCATAAGTTCTTCTTATATTCTAGACAAGTCTCTTATCATCTTATCAAATATATGATTTGCAAATATTTTCTCCAATTCTATGGGTTGTTCTTAGAACTTTTTTTTTTTTTTTTTTTGAGACAGAGTCTCACACTGTCACCCAGGCTGGAGTGCAGTGGCACAATGTCAGCTCACTGCACCCTCTGCCTCCATGGTTCAAGTGATTCTCATGCTTTAGTCTTCCAAGTAGCTCGGATTACAGGTGTGCAACACCATGACTAATCTTTCTATTTTTAGTAGGGACGGGGTCTCCATGTTGGAGAGCCTGGTTTTGAACTCCTGGCCTTAAGTGATCTGCCTGCCTCAACCTCTCAAAGTGCTGGGATTACAGGTGTGAGCCACCACACACCCACCTTCTTTGCACTTTCTTGATGATATCCTTCAAAGCACAAAAGTTTCAAATTTTGATAAAGCCTAATTTATCGATTTTTAAATTTTGTTCCTGTGTTTTAGTGTCAAGACAGTCTAAGAGGCCACTGGCTACTCCTAGTTCAAAAAATTAATACCCCTCTTTTTTCCTCTAAGAACATATATTTTATGCAGTTTTAATTTTTGGTAGATGATCCACTGAGTTAATTTTGTACATGGTGTGAGGTAAGGGTCCAAAGACATTATTTTGCATGTAGATATCTGGTTGTCCAAGTACCTTTTGTTGAAAATATTCTTTTTCATGAATAATCTTGGTACCCTTTTCAAAAATAAACTGTTTATAAATGTAAGGGTTTATTTCTAGAGACTCCATTCTATTATATTGATCCATATGTTCATCTTATACCAGTACATAACTGTATAACTTTGTAGTAAGTTTGAAAATCAGGAAGTATGAGTCATCCATCTTCATTTTCTGGATTTTTTCCAAGTATTGTGTTTCTTGCATTTCCATATGAATTTTAGGATTATAATTTATGAAAAAAAGCCAGCTGGAATTTTGATAGGAATGTTGAATCTATAGATCAGTTTGGGGAGGATTATCATCTTAACAATATTAAGTATTCTAATCTATCAACATAGGCTATCTTTCCATGTATTTAGGTCTTAAATCTTTCAACAGTGTTTTGGTCATTTTTAGCACACAAATCTTATACTTTTGTTAAATTTATTACTTCATTATTTTTGGAAAATAGTTTTTAAAAATAAATTTTTCTGATTACAAACTACTATTTGTTAATTATCCAATATGGAAATATGAAAAGGCAAAGAAAAGAAAGTATTAACCACAGTCCAACTAGCAGGTGTACTGGAAATGTGAACTTCCATCTTCAATAAAAGACAAAAACTGCCTTATCCCTGCTATGTGTCATTCATTCTGGTATGATTATCAATAACATTTCCCCCACCTCCTTCACCACAAGGTTGGGCATGTCACCTCCTCCAACCAGAGGGCCCACACAAGGGACACTGACTGGTCTGAAGGTGGCCACATGACCACATGTCACCTCCTCCAACCAGAGGGCCCACACAAGGGACGCTGACTGGTCTGAGGGTGGCCACATGACCCAAACAGGGGCAATCGGAATTCTCAGTGACTGATACAGGCATGAGAGAGAAAATCTCTTCTATCTGGGATCATGAATTCAAGGTCCTAAAAGTGACACGAGGTACTGGGCTCTCCTGACACCATTTGGAGAGTTTCTCTGAGAATGAAACTAAACAAAAGAAACCAAGAGATTAAAGAGAGAGAGAGAGAAATTTTAATGATATCCTAATTTAGATTGCTGGATACAACTATGCCTAAACAAATTCACCCTTGGATTTCTGAACTGCAGAGCCAATGTATTTCCTCTTTTGCTTAATCTTATCTGATAGGGGATTCTGACAACTAAAGAATCCTAATACATATGAGATAAATATTATATTCATTTTGCTTACAAATCATTTCTGTCTTTGGAAAATAGATTTCTTAGGCCCTCTTTTAAAGTTATATATGTAGTTATAGTATACACCCACGCTAAATGATAGATATCACTGGGAGCTGTCGAATTGACTGCTTATAAACCACAGTACACATCAGTGTTAAAAACTAGCCTATAATCATCCCCCCTCAGCCTCTAAGTGCACAGAGATGTTTCAGCATGAAATATAGTACCTTCTTTCTCTTGCATAAGATTCCCTCTTGACTTCCATTTCTGTCTGTTTGGCTAGCAAGGCAGCAGCTTTGGCAGCCTCTACTTCTTCCTTTGTCTTTGCAAAACGAGCAGCTCTCTCAGCACGGTCCTTTAAAACATCATTAAATACCAATTACCTTTAGTGCCAAAATGGTCAATTCATACAATTCCAAACATGAGGAACAAACACAAATATGCATGGAATTCTTTTATTATTAAGAGACAGGGTCTTGCTCTGTTACTGAGGCTGGAGTGCAGTGACACAATCATCGCTCACTGAACTCCTGGGCTCAAGCAATCCTCCCACGTCAGCTTCCAGAGTAGCTGGGACTACAGGTACATGCCACCATGCCCAGCTAATTTTTTTCTTTTCTTGTAGAGGTGGGGTGTTGCTTTGTTGCCTAGGCTAGTCTTATACTCCTGGCCTCAAGCAATCCTCCCATCTTGGCCTCCCAAAATTCTGGAATTACAGTTTTGAACCACTGTGCCTTGCTGCCAGAAATTCTCGTAACACCATATGTGAACTTAATCATTCTGGAACTGTTATTTTTTAGTTTTATCAACTGTCGGAGACCAGAATTATTATTAAAGAAACAAGGACATGAATTTGCTCACTACCATATCTCCAAAGCCTGAAACAAGGTTTCAGGCATAGTAAGGCTCAACAAGTATTCGTTGACTCACCAAATGAACAAAAAATATTAAGGTAGAGGTAGTTTATTTTTCAGGGACAGAGTTTTGCTTCTTGTTGCGGCTGGAGTGTGATGGCATAATGTTGACTCACTGCAACCTCCACCTCAGTTCAAGCAATTCTCCTGCCTCATCCTCCCAAGTAGCTGGGATTACTGGCGCTCACCACCACGTCCGACTAATTTTTCTATTTTTAGTAAAGACAGGGTTTCACCATGTTAGTCAGGCTGGTCTCGAACTCCCGACCTCAAGTAATCCACCTGCCTTGGCCTCCCGACCTCAAGTGATCCACCTGCCTCAGCCTCCCAAAGTGCTGGGATTACAGGCATGAGCCACCACGTGTGGTGAGATGGTTTTCATATGTATTGCAACTGCTGAATCCTAAAAGCAATTGCTGCAAACTAAGCTTTATGATATGCCTAAATCCTCTGGATACTGCAAAAAAGTGTGCCTGTGATAGAAAAGACTAATAGGTACTTAGCTTATTTTCTAGGGAATCTTTAAAAGCTGCCTTTTGACTAATGATAAAAGTCATAAGTTAACAAAATATGAAGAAAAATCACTTTAAAAAAAAATAATCTTGGTTGGGCGTGGTGGCTCACGCCTCTAATCCCAGCACTTTGGGAGGCCAAGGTGGGCGGATCACCTGAGGTCAGGAGTTCAAGACCAGCCTGACCAACATGGAGAAACCCCGTCTCTACTAAAAATACAAAAAAATTAGCCCGGCCTCATGGTGCATGCCTGTAATCCCAGCTGCTTGGGAGGCTGAGGCAGGAGAATTGTTTGAACCTGGGAGGCAGAGGTTGCGGTGAGTGGAGATCATGGCACTGTACTCCAGCCTGGGCAGCCAGAGAAAAACTTTGTCTCCAAAAAAAAAAAAACTCTCAATTTTAATCCTATTTTAATTCATTTACAATTTCTAGTAAAAGGAGGCTCACGATTGGTAGTCTATGAGCCACTAAAATCTATTTTTGTGTGCACAAGTCTGGTAGTAATCTAAGCCACTGCGTAGAAAAACAATTTCACAAATGTCTGGAAACTTAATACTTACCAATGCAATCTGCTGTTTTATACGTTCTCGAGCTGCCCTATCTTCTGCCTTTTCTCTGTTTCTTTCCTCTAACATTCTTTTTGTTAATTCTTCTTCTTGTTTTCTTTTATAATCCAACATTTCTTTTCCAGTTTTTCTTCTCTCAATTTCTTTCTTAATCTCTCTCTGAATTAAAGAAAAAGTTGTATCATCCAAAAAAAATTTGATAATCTGCCCCAGATATTATTTTTAATGTAAGGAAAACTGCAGTTAAAAGAATAAAACTTCATAAAATGTCAGTCTAGATGAGTTTATTAACAGCATGGTTAATGGTCAAATGTCTATCAATCTATAAATCATTGCCAGTGGTCTGTTAAGATAATAATGTAGTCAGTGTAATTTGAAGGCAAGCATAATTACAGGTCTTAAGTCACAAGGGTTAAATATATTACCCTTCAGGGACAATATGGCAGTCATTTATTTGGCTTGAATGAAATGGTAACCTTCATATATTAGAACTCCAAAGAAATGTTACACAGTTAGGAACACATGGTTAGAAAAATGAAATGGTGTCCTACAATGCTTAACAGGAGAGGGAAAATTCAGCAAAATGTCTACACATTTCTTTTTCACAAAAATAAACTAAAACTTTGTTCTGCCTCAAGCCAAACAATTTTAGCTCAAGTCCCTTTATTCTTAGTGTAAAAAAAATCATTGGAGAGGGAAAAGCATGGTCTAATTTATTGTAGCAGTTTACATAAAGAACACAAAAATATGTATACACTATGACTCTACTAGAGAAAACAAATTATCTTCATAGTGTGTCAACACTGAACTATAACTAGGAAGTCACTCTAGGCCTGCCAAACTAAATGGAATAGTCAATCATAACCTCAGTTAACAAGAGGATAAAACAATGCTAACTGCATGAACTTTACCTGTTCTTCTTCTTTTCTTTTCTCTTCTCTCCTTTCTTCAAGTTTTTTTGTTAGTCTGTATTAAAAAAAAAAAAAAAAAAAAAAAAAAAAAAAAAAAAAAAAAAAAAACCTCAGACACATCATATTAATATAAAACACGTTTAGAGAGAGAGATCCAAGATGGCCGACTAGCAGCAGCTCAGGATTGCAGCTCCCAGTGAACGTGCAGGGAGTGAGTGGATGCCAGACTTCCAGACGAATTTTGGTTGCCTACGGACCAGGAGATTCCCAGCGGAGGAGCCCCATGGGTCGCCAGCGCGACTCTTTTGGCCGGCGCGGCTGTTTTGCCATTGTCCCAGCACGGAGGTTCTCAGTGCGTAGTATGCGGGACTGGGTGCCCTTTTAGTTGGCATTTGGAGCTCCAGGAAGGCAGAGTCACCCATTCAGCTGATTGAAAAGGGGACTGAAGCCGGGAGCCAGACCGGGAGATTCCCGGGCAGATAAGCGCCACGAATCTCAGTGCTGCTGTTTCAGCCGGTGCGGTCACCACACGGGAAATTGCATAGATCCCGGTGCCTTTTCGGCGGGCGACTGGGGCATCTAGGAGAGAATCGACCATTCAATTAGGAGAAGAAAAAAAGGGGGCTCCGAGGCAGGGAGCCAGGAGATCGGGCTCAGCTGGTCCCACCCCCACAAAAAAACAGCAATTGGAAACGCTGACGGTTGAGAGTTTCACAGCAAGCAGAGCTGAACCTGGGAAGGTCCAGCTTTGTGGGGGAGGGGCGTCCGACGAAGGAAAACAAAGAAACAGAAATAACATCACCACCAACAAGACGGATGTCCACTCAGACACCCAATCTGAAAGTCTGCAATTACAAAGACAACAGATAGATAAATCCACAAAGATGGGAAGAAACCAGCACAAAAAGGTTGAAAACATCCAAAACCAGAATGCCTCTCCTCTTTCAGGGGATCGCAGCTCCTCATCAGCAAGGGAACAAGCCTGATGGAGAATGAGTGTGATGAATTGTCAGAATCAGGCTTCAGAAGGTGGCTAGTAAGAAACTTTTGTGAGCTTAAAGAACATGTTCTGACCCAATGCAAAGAAACTAAGAACCTTGAAAAAAGGTTTTACGAAATGCTAACGAGAATAGACAATTTAGAGAGGAATATAAGTGAATTAATGGAGCTGAAAAACACAATACAAGAACTTCACGAAGTATGCACAAGTTTTAACAGTTGAACTGATCAAGCAGAAGGATATCAGAGGTCGAAGACCAACTCAATGAAATAAAATGAGAAGACAAGATTAGAGAAAAAAGGGTAAAAAGGAATGAGCAAAGTCTCCAAGAAATATGGGACTATGTGAAAAGACCTAATCTATGTTTGATAGGTGTACCTGAATGTGACGAAGAGAATGAATCCAAGTTGGAAAATATTCTTCAGGATATTATTCAGGAAAACTTTCCCAACCTAACAAGGCAGGACAATATTCAACTCCAGGTAATACAGAGAACACCACAAAGATATTCCTCAAGAAGAGCAACCCCAAGGCACATAATCGTCAGATTCACCAGGGTTGAAATGAAGGAGAAAATGCTAAGAGCAGCCAGAGAGAAAGGTCGGGTTACCCACAAAGGTAAGCCTATCAGACTCACAGCAGATCTCTCAGCAGAAACCCTAAAAGCCAGAAGAGAGTGGAGGCCAATATTCAACATCCTTAAAGAAAAGAACTTTCAACCCAGAATTTCATATCCAGCCAAACTAAGCTTCATAAATGAAGGAAAAATAAAATCTTTTGTGAACAAGCAAGTACTTAAGAGATTTCATAACCACCAGGCCTGCTTTACAAGAGCTTCTGAAAGAAGCACTACACATAGAAAGGAACAACCAGTATCAGCCATTCCAAAAATATACCAAAAGGTAAACAGCATCAACATAATGAAGAATCTATATCAACTAATAGGCAAAACAGCCAGCTAGCATCAAATGGCAGTATTAAACTCACATATATTATTATTAATCCTAAATTTAAATCGACTAAATGCCCCAATCAAAAAACACAGACAGGCAAATTGGATAAAAAGCCAAAACCCATTGGTATGCTGCATCCAGACCCATCTTACATGCAAGGATACACAAAGACTCAAAACAAAGGGATGGAGGAAGATTTACCAACCAAATGGAGAGCAAAAAATAAAAAAAAAAGCAGGAGTTGCAATTCTCACCTCTGATAAAATAGACTTTAAAGCAACAAAGATCAAAAGAGACAAAGAAGGACATTACATAATGGTAAAAGGATCAATGCAACAAGAAGAACTAACGATCCTAAATATATACGCACCCAATACAGGAGCACCCAGATACATAAGGCAAGTTCTTAATGACTTATAAAGAGACTCAGACTCCCACACAACAATAGTGGGAGACTTTAACATCACATTGTCAATATTAGACAGATTAACAAGACAGAAAATTAACATGGATATTCAGGACTTGAACTCAGACCCGGAACAGGTAAATTTAATAAACATTTATAGAACTCTCCACCCCAAATCCACAAAACATATATTATCAGTACCACATCACACCTACTATAAAAGTGACTACATAATTGGAAGTAAATCACTCCTCAGTAATTGCATAGTATTTCACAGGTTTAAATGAAATATTGGTTGGCTGCTTGTTATTTTCCTCCCTTATTCCTTCCTGTCTCCATTGTTAAGCATTGGCATAAAAGAGGTTTTCAGTACCCATTTTTAGGCTGCATTCTAGCCTGGGCAATAAAGCAAGACTCCTGTTCTCTCTCCCTCTTTTTCTTCCTCTTTCTTTCTCTCTTTCATGCTTTTTTTTCCTTTCTCTCTTTTTTTCTCTTTAAAAAAAAAAATTTAGGAGATGTATTTAGCTAAAAGATTGGAGAAATAAACAAAGAGCAAGCAACAATTTATCTGCCTGACTCCAGGCTCCTACAGAAATCCTGGAGTCAAAAAGAGCCCATCAGAAGCCTAGCTTCATTCTAAATGCCTCACTTTCCACTTACGATTAGTTTCCCTCTTTTTCTGATTTACCTGATTTTGGCTTTTAAAATCTACAAACACATTTTTCTTTTCTTTCCTTTTTTTTTTTTTTGAATACAGAGT